CAGCCCGCTGGTGGGGGGGAGCGGGGACCCGGGGCGGCCTCGTTTGGTCGGGGTCGCCCGTCCCCTCGGGGCGTTCGGTGGGAGTGGAGCCGTCGCTCGGATGGTCGCCTCGGGGATGGCCACTTACCTCGGGGCCACGGTTGCCTCGGGGCCACGGTCACCTTATGGCCATGGTCACCTCATTGCCATAGCCGCTTACCTTGGGGCCACGGTCACCTCAGGGCCATGGTCACCTCAGGGCCACAGCCCCCTCCCTCAGGGCTTTCAATCACCTCAGGACTACGGTCACCTCATGGCCGTGGCAACTTACCTCAGGGCCATTGTCACCTCAGGGCCACAGTCACCTCAGGGCCATGGCCACTTACGTTGGGGCCATGGTCACCTCAGAGCCACAGCTCCCTACCTCAGGGCTCTCAGTCACCTCAGGGCTACGGTCACCTCAAGGGCATCGCAACTTACATCAGGACCATGGTCACCTCATGGCCATGGCCACCTACCTGAGGGCATGGTCACCTCAGGGCCAGTCAGTTATCTCAGGGCTGCGATAACCTCGGGACTCTCGGTCATCCTCAAGGTGACCACCATGTTCCTTTGGCCACCTCAGGGTCACAGCCACCACAGGCCAACCCCAAAGAGGATCTGTGGGTCTGACAAAGCGTCGGCCCCACAGCCCTCGGCACTGTGTTTTGGGGGACAGCCACATGGCCACCCGCTCCCTTGGGGTGACACCAGCGAGCCAAAGCACATCCAGAAAAGCCATCGCTCATGCGGATGCCATAGTACGTATACAACGGCCACGTAACGATGATCCGTCCTTGTCCTACGGGCTGCATCGTGAGCAGTTCCCTTCCCAAGATAACGCTATTGCCAAGCGTAGATAAGTGGTTCGCTCGCAAATGTGCTTTAAATGAACTGGCTGCGTTTTCGCCCGTTCCGTACAAATGACTTTGGTACAGTTCCCGTGGTGGCTTCCACGCTACAGTCACTTGAGGAACACCAAGAGTCAGCGCACAAAAGGCAGATGGCCAGAGAGCAGCACAAATCTTCTGCTACGGTGCAAGCCCACCGCAGCAGTCTCCGTACCGTAATACCGAAGAAAGGGCTTTTCTGAGGGGACTCACCCTTGTTGTGCACACTCTTAAAAACAAGGATTTTGCACCAAAAAAAAAAAAAAATCCTACCTTGAGGAAGGTTAATATTGTGACAGAAACACATAAAGCTTTCAAAACAGAGATTATTTTAAACACTTGCCCTGTTTTTTGCTGATCTGACGTCTATTTCCATGGAAACCACATCCAGCCGCCGAGCTGCTAGAACTGGGAGAGGTTTCTGCCGGAGTGGCTCGCTGGGCATGGGAAGAGCCATTTTCCAGCAGCGTGGTAGAGACTTTTTGTGGGCTTGGAGGGATTTCAGATTCAAAATGGTCGGGCTGCTTGGCCCTTCAGGATCACGCCTGGTACATTCACGGGGTTCCTGGCCGAATACCAGCGGTGTGTGCATAGATATCACACGCGACACGCATGTTTTTAAATGAAACATCTTGAGTGCTTGGATTAAATTGCATTAAATGTCGCTGGAAGACAAAGCAGCCAAGAGACCATGCCACCAGCCTGTGTTTTACTTTATCATTTATTAATTATCATCCATGTAGACCAACAGTGTGTTGGATGCTTTAATATTAATGCTTTTTAGTAAAATCAATGAGCTTATCCTGGGATGATCTCAGGATTTCCCCGAGGAAACAAGGCTTCCTGGGCTCGGGGCTTTTTGTTTGGCACCTGCGTGACCGCCTTTCGTCAGCCCTCACCCCCTGGAGAGATGGGGATGAAATAGCATTTACCGCTTTTGAAGAAGGGATGCAGGCTGAGATAACGCTACCAGTCACGCAGGGGCTGTTGGCAGCGCTTTCCATCTTATTTCCTGGGCTTCTTACAGGGACAAGGAAAAAGAAAGAGAGGGGAAAAAAAAAGGGCGGAAGGTAACTTACCTTCTCTTGCAGATCAGCTTTAAAGCCAAAAATATTTCTTTCAGATAAGAACTCTCCTGTGTAAGAGGCAACGCGGTTTATTGACGAGAGGCACTGAGCAGATCAGATGCGGGATCTGTCCGCAGCTCTGACATTTTCCGTACCGTGTCACTTCGGCTGAGGCTCTTCAGCAACCTCTTTACACCACCTGCCACAACTGGTTTCAGTTTAAACCGAAATCTCTGAGTATTATTGAGATACAAAGAGAAGTAACAGCTCTTAGCAGCTGGAAAGGCACGGAGACGATCTCATTTTTGGCCTCGTTGCAAGAGTGGTTTTATTTTTGGAACATTTCAGAAAACTCATTTGTTTATGTGGCATTTATTTTTGCCTGATCTCAAGGAGAATGGAGTATATGAAAAGCTTTTATTTAATTTGCATTTGATTTGTGTTTATCGACACAGCTACTGCGATTCTAAACAGACTCTTCTTTCGTCGAGCCTAGCAGCATGTGGCTGTGGTAGTTTTTGTCTACTGGATTCCTTATCACCAACAAAAGCTCCTTGCTGTAATCCCAGTTTTTCCAAAAAAAGAGCAAGCGCCAGTATGAGAAATTTCCTCGGACATGTCACTCTTTAGCCCCAAAACGGGGTTCCAGAAGGAAGATACCACTTCAAACCCCAATCTAACCACATCAGCCAGATGAATTTGTGCATCCTGAGGAAAAGAGAGGACGACAGCAGAACCTGCAGAGAGATTCCCAGGGCAGAAAGGGACAAAGGCTCGATAAATTAGGGATATGACCGGCTCTGAGGGTCAGCGGCTCTGACGCCTCCGAGCCGGCGATAACTGCACCCACATAAAAGCGTTGCCCTCGTGGCGCTGGCGGCCACGGCTGTAGCTGCCCACCGGTTGCTCAGGGGGTCTCGTTCCCAGCACAGCCAAACCCGAGGGCCCTCGGCTTCGGTTCGGCGGGCTCTGCTCTCAGGGAAACAGGTAAGTCAGGGGCTCGTCGGGAGGATTCCTTGTACGTGTGAATTTAGGACGTGACGTGGTCAAATTTAGCATAAAGATTAAAGCGTCTCCTCTGATGTGCTTATCAAAATACCCCACAAAGAGACTGACATAATTAGGTGACAACTCAGCCCACGGCAGCTCTTTTAACTTGCAAAAATATTTAATCTCCAATAAGAAAATGTGCTTCCTGAGTAACAAATTGCCACCCTTAAGCACCCGTGGTGGATGGACTGACAGCTTATTTGTTAATCAGAGAATGTTTTAAAGCACCTTGGTACGTAATATTAGCAAGTACTTGCCGAGACTGGTAACAGTCACTGCAGTAGCAAAGTTCATTTTAAAACTAGAAATCCAATATACCATTTGGCCTGAGTCAATCAGTTTAACTGATTTAATAAATAACCCGCTAGAGGAGACTAATTTGAAAGAAACTTGCACTCAGAGGTAGAGAGAAAGGCTACAAGATTTCTTTCTGTCCCTGTTTCTCAGTCTTTGTGTGAACCTTTGGCAAATTTTTCTCTACGCCGCAGCTTTCCCATCTTCCCGCCGGCTGTACTGACGTGCTGCTGCCTGACAGAGGTCTCGCAAGAAAACGAGTGGCTGCAAAGATCTCGTATAAAAATACATTTTAATCCAAATGCAGTCGAGGAGTCCGTGGGGAAATGAAGAATAAAGCAAGACTTTTAGGGAGCGTCTCCCTCACAGTGAAAGCTCTTCCACAGGCAAGAAACGTTTAAGGTAATTGGTATTTGTTTACTGGAGGTGTTTAGGCTGATACCATATTTATGCTGAAAAGCACCATTAAGAAAATGTTCCCTTTTGAACGAATTTCCACGGGCTGATGTGCTGTTGGAAACGATGTCATTTTTTCAAATCAGACAGGGCGCCTGGCTTCCGTTGCTAGTTCGTTTTTTGAGAAATTCACTCGAACTCACTGAATTCCTCCATACAATGAGACAAGTAAAAGCACTCACCACAGATGGTGACTGCGCCTGCAGCAAGAGGGATGAAAATATAAATTAATTGCGTTGATATTGGGGCAACGTAACCCTGAAATGTCATACTCACCTCTTCAAACGCAGTCATAGCACTGTACTGCAGGATATCCAAATACTACGGCGCTGAGGGCTGACAAGGCTCTAGAGTAGAAAAATAACGCAAGCTTCTAATGAACTAAAGACAAAGGCCCCACAAGCGCCCTGCTCCCCTTGCAAAAAGCCCTCCAGCACACTGAAACGGTGACAGACCCCGAAGTAAGGGCAGCGGCTGCGGTACCCACACACGGGCCCCTTCGTCCTGGCCGCAGCCAGGATGCTGAAGGAGATCTGGTCTTTCTCCTAAACAGTGATCTCTGCCTTCGATTCACCCCGGGCAAGGAACAGCAGAATTCCCTTCCCAGCCTGCTGGTAGCTCTCCTGGCATGCTTTTCGTTCTTTGTTTCCTAACAAAATGAGGTTTTACATGATCAAACTACTTCTGCAGCTCTGACTAGTCTTCTCTCCCAGCTTTTAGCTTTGTGAGCCTGTCTCTGCCCCTCCGATAAATTCGGATAAGAGCTCAGTGACATGAATTCCACAAGTTTCTTGAAAACAGATGGCAGGGGAGAGGCAAGAGTGAGAAAAGGCTTCAGCACAAGCCAAACTATTATTAGAGCCTTCACACCGAGGAGCGCTATCACAGACGCTCCAACAGCGGGTACGATTTCAGAGCTGGTTGTTTTCTCCAGGGCACCAGCAGATCCTCCAAGGCACTGAGCGTGCAGTTGTGCTCTCCTGGGAGCCACCTGCCAAATATAAGGACAGATCTACGTGGATGCCGGCTCCCACCTCCGCCGCGTCCAGAAACGCGCGACGAGAGCTGGCCGGGAGATCGCCTGGCATCGCTTTCCCCCGCTCCTTGCTCCCGTAGCTCCCAACCGAGCCGGGAGCCTCAACCCATTTCTCTGCCTCCTCGCTGCTTTTCCCTTTCTGCTCCCAACCGGAGTCCACGAATTTGCATTGCCCATATGGAGCACCAAGAGCTTTGCTATTCAAGGAAGCCCGTAAACAACTCGCTGCCGAGGGTGCAAAAATAACTGCGCTGCACAGAGCTGCATCGCCCAGCGATAGCGAGTGGCTGGGAGAGAAGCACGAAGAAGGGGGGGTTTGCATGCGAGCCAACAGGAGATGCACTAATTAGATTTCAAAAGTGTCAGAGTCAGCCATTTCAGCTGCGATACGGCAAAGGCGACAGCGGGATTTTGACAACCACATGGAATAGCAATGCGTGGGGAAGCCATCAAATATTCAACAGCCATAGAAGATTCCAGTAAAGACATTTGCTTTGGCTCTTTGAAAATTAAGTGGGGGGAAAGAAAAGCTGGGTATAGCACTAATTATTCCCCAGTTCCTAATTAGTTCCTTGAATTTAAAATATGGACTCAGCTCTACCAGCAGCTCAGCAAGCCTATTGTGCTATTAATACTTCCCTGGCGTGATATAGTTAAAAATACTCCCACCCTTTCAAGACAAAATGTAGCTTGGAAGTGTCATGATGGGAGGAGTTCAGGGATGGAAATCCTCTTAAAGGAATATGACTTCCCCGATGTCAAATAAACCATATGAATGAGCTTGCAACAGCCCCCAGACTGAGCCTGTTCCCCCTAACAGCAAATTTGAAAATAATGCTCAATGCACAGCTCTCGGGCCGCTTGCTATCAAAGCTGTTTCACTGGCAAAATCACCGTGCAGCCGCATGGTAACAGGTTTTACTTATTTTTCAGAGATCTGCCGCCTGGGGAGCAGGGGGGTTTGCAGTTCTCAAGTGCCTGGCTTGCTCCAGACGGACAGCGCAAGGGAGAATTCAGATCGAAAGGCAGGATTTTGAAGCGTCCCCCTTGCGTCCAGCCCCGCGCCCAGGTAACGCAGGAGGTCCTGACCTGCCCCGTGCAGCAGCCACAGCTAGTTTTTCCGTGGCAATATCTATAGGTGCTGCTTGTGGACGAGATCTGTCAGACACCATGGGCAGAATAAAATGTGCCTCTTCCCACAGGATTTGTGAGCTGAGGAAACGGGTCTGGGGTTTTCTTTTATGGCACCTTTCGACTTCAGTTGGACAAGGAGGTCCAGATCTATGCTTTTGCATGTTAGAGCCTCTCAGGAGAATGAGCAGCTCCCCTCTCATCTCCACCACCAATTCTGCATCAAAATGGGTTAATTCCTGCTCCGTCCCACTGGCTCTTCACCTGCTGCCTGCAATCGCTCAGCA